CTTTTAGAGAGAGTGTGAGAGGAGGGGAGAGGGAGATAGAGAGAAACATCCATGTAAGAGAGACGCATCTATTGGTTGCCTCCGGCACATGCCCCAACCAGGCTGGGATCCAGCCTGCAACCGAGGTTCATGCCTTTGACCAGGAATTGAACCTGAGAACCTCCAGTGTGCAGGCTGACACTCTAACCACTGAGCCACACCAGCCAGGGCTAGGGATTTAATTCTTTCTCAGTTACCCATTTCCTCTTATTTTGAGCTAATTTCTCTCATACATGAAGTCTTGTTTTTGAGTCTTTGTAGACAAAAAGTACCCATGTTCCTGGTCAGGCAGAAGGTCTTGTACAGTGAGGTGCTAAACTCTGAAGTAGATGTGTTTTCCTCACAGCCTGCCTGACTCACACAGGGCAGGGCTGCAGGATGTGGGCTTGGACCAGGGAGTTATTAGGACTCTCTGGTGATTTTCTGTCCTTCACAAATTAGAGAATGGCCAGCTAACCCATCATCAAAACTGGATTTGGTACTGACTTGTACCGAGTAGTAAATAAATCCTGCAAATCTAACGCACGGTACATGAATATAGACAACAATATCCTATATAATAAAAGGCCAATATGCAAATTGACCAAAATGGCAGAACGACCAGAATGACCGCTCGACCAGTCACTATGAGGGGCACTGACCACCTCTTGGTCCCTTTCCCCAGCTGGCAGGCTCCGATCACCCGATGGTGAACTGGGAACGGGGTGGGTGGCAAGGGATGTGGGCAGTGCCAGGCCAAGGCCCCCGCCTAGCTGGTCACCCCACACACAGAGGGCGACCGGTGGCGGGGCCAGGGCCAGCGAGCGGGCAGAACAGCCGACCTGCATCCCTGTGTCACTGCCCTTTTGTTCCATTGGCTGTGGCCTGAGCAAGGATGGACGCTGTGGAATCATGGCCACTGGCCCCTGGGATGTGGTGGGAGGACTCCCTCAGGAGGAATATGGTGGAGCAGGCCACGTGCCCCGGGCAGCTTAGTGTTTCATCTCCTTTACTTCCTTGTCTGTCCCCAGGAAGAGCTGTCTGAGGAAGTCGGCCAGGATGGCAGCCATGCTCAGATCCCCGTTCACGTCCACAATGCCACATGCACAGTGAAGGTCGCCGCCATCACCACAGGAGGGGTCGGGCCTTTCAGTGACCCCGTGAAAATATTCGTCCCTGCACACGGTGAGAGCCGGGCTCCCTCAGCTGCTGGAGCTGTGCATCCAGGCAGCACACAGATGGCCAGCTGGGGGATGGACAGCTGGCTTAGGGCTGAACCATAAAGACCCGTTTGCCATGGTAAAGAAACTCAATAGGGTCACACCTCAGCGTGAGAGGCCTCCACTAGCGTGACTACAAGTGGTTCTAACTTACTAGGAGGATCAGTCCGCTCAGGGTTTGACTTGGTTTCCTGAAAGTGAGGTGTGCCGACGGAATGTTGGCAAGGCAGTGTGGCTGACCCTTCACTCTCTAGAACTGATAGTTTGTTTTGCTGTTTTAATCAGTGCTGCTTGTCCCATTGTTGCCCGTTCAGGTCTGAGGCAGCTTCATGATCACTCAGTCCAGAACATGCAGGGTTTCTTGCAGAAGCCGCCCACCGACAACCCTGGGCTCCCTGAGCTAAATGCCCAGCCCTGCATTATGGCTCTTGCGTGTCATTGGAGTGTTCTTTGTCAAGGGGTCACCATGTACCCCAAGTGGCCCAACACTGTGCTTACTTCCATAGATGAGGGGAGCCAGCTTTGTTCTGACTGTGTCCAGCCCTGGGTTGTTTGATGTTAAACTGGTGTCATCAACTCCATGCACAGGCATCTATGTATATCAGTGTGACCTGTGTGTTTACAAGTCCTTGCAAGCACAGCTTCTGTACTCAGAGCAAACGGGACTTGTGAGTAGACTGGTGAGTCCTCCCATATGCTCTCATAAGTGCAGAATTAGAGCCATATATCAGGCCCAGCAGCCCATAGCCTCTGCACTGGGGACCATCAGTAACTGGTAATGGGGACACCAGGCTTACCTGCCTGGTAGAAATTCACAGTCAACAAGATTCCGATTCTAAATGCACAGGTTAAAAAGTCAGACTTTACGCCCTGGCCAGTGTTTCCCAGTGGTTAGAGAACAGCTCGAGCACCGTAGGGTCATGGGTTTGATTCCCCGTCAGGGGCACATACCTGGGTTGCGGGTTTGCTCCCTGCCCCCGGTTAGGGCACCTGCGGGAGGCAGCTGGTTGATGTGTCTCTGTTGCATCAATGTTTCTCTCTCACACACACTCTCTCTCTCTCCCTCTTCCTCCTTTTTCCACACACTCGTGCTCTCTCTCCCTCCCCCCCTCCTTTCCTTCCACTCTCGCTGAAGAATAATGGGGAAAAATATCCTCAGGTGAGGATTAACAACAACAAAAAGTCAGAATTATAAAAAAAACTTTGCTATCCTGGCAGTCCTTGCTTGGTACAATTCCAATATGCATGCATTTCAGTCACCATTGTTCAGTGAAATAACTTAACAACAACAAAAAGTCAGAATTATAAAAAAAAACTGCTATCCTGGCAGTCCTTGCTTGGTCCAATCCAATATGCATGTATTTCAGTCACCATTGTTCAGTGAAATAACACCGTCCCTTAACAATATGGTTCAAATGTGAATTACCATCGTATGTTAACTGTGAGACCTGCATAAAACACACACTTCGCTGCCGGCTCCTCAGTGCACAAATCCACGTAACTAATAGGCTCCTTGTGACCACAGCCGGTGGGCTACTTCTCAGAGTCTGTTCGTGGCTGGTCACTGTGCTTGCATGATTCAATTCACTCCTATCCAAGACATATCAAGCACCAAGGATAAGTTGTCGGAAGCAGATCCACACTTACAATGGAGCGCGACAACGCGCAGGCACAGAGAGTAGATTCTGTCCTCGTCACAAGTTACACACTGGCAGGAGGCCCGCCCTGTTCACACCACGCTCGATACGTGTTTACAAAGAAACAACCGTGCCTAATGCTCAGTGTTTCCAGTGTGTGAGTTACAGTAGACCAGGTGAAGGTTAATTTGACCATTTTCACTTCCGTATACCTTTGTTGCTGCCATGGTTACCATTGATGCCTGAGACCCTTACACAGTCTCCGCGAGGACTGCCTATGTTTCTGGGTCACGGAATCTCGAGGGGCTGGTTCTGAAGCTTATGATTACCTGCTCTTCCCCATTATAAGCCAGTGTCTGCTGTGTGTTTCGGAGCCCAGGGGATGTTCTGAATTGCTTCCATTGGCTTTCTCTCAGGTTGGGTAGATCTGGCCCCCTCGTCAGCTCCAACACCTGGCAGTACAGACCCCGTGCTCATCATCCTCGGCTGCTTCTGCGGATTTATCCTGATTGGGCTGGTTTTGTATGTTTCTCTGGCCATCAGAAAAAGAGTCCAGGAGACGAGGTTTGGGTAAGTGTCCCAGTTAAAACATGTTTTGTTTGGCTCTGGCCTGTGTTGTTCAGTAGTTAGAGCGTTGGCCCATGCCCCAAAGGGTAGTGGGTTCGATTCTCAATCAAGGGCATGTTCGATCTCCAGCCCTGGTTGGAGTGCATTTGGGAGGCAACCAATCGATGTGTCGCTCTCATATCAATGCTTCTCTCTCACTCGCTCCCTCCTTCCCTTCCACTCTCTCTAAAATACCAATGGAAGAAATATCCTCGGGTGAGGATTAACAGCAATAAAAAATGTTCTCTTCAGTGGTGTCGATGAGATAGATGGTTATGCCGAGTGACAATGCCTGTCCTGCTGGCCGACTCCTCGGTGTTCTGAGAGCCCTGTCTGGGCTCTCTGGGCGGGCAGTGCCCTCACTGAGGCCAGTGCCACAGAGGCAGCCCGCAGGGAAAGCCAGCCCGGAGGGGTCTGCACAGAGAAGACCATCAAAGGTCTTTGCTGCTCAAACTCCGTTGCTATTAAATGAGCACTTTGATTAGAAGCCTTTAAACTGACCCTAATTATGCACAAAAATAAAACAATATGTATGCACCAATAATGAGAAGGAAATTCACCAAAGCATTAGCAATTCTGTAATTGTGGGTGATCCCGTGGTTTTTTTTCTTTCCTGTGTTTTACACATTTTCTGTAGTGATCAATTATTTTTTCAATAGAGGAAAACCTTTATATTTTCACATTCAAATTATATAAGAAGCTCTTTTTCTTACTTTCTATAATCTGACTTTCATAACCAGTTGAATGTCAAGAAAACTAAGAAGCCATGTGAAGGCAGCCGGGAACGCAAGGCCGTGTTGCCAGCGTTGTCTCTGGGGCTCGGCTCCTCCAGCGCCTGTGCAGGGCACTTGGCTTTCCTCGAAATCCAGTTTGTCACTCGGGGCCGAGGGCAGCTTGGAGTGGGACAGGATGAGGAAGGGCGGGAACTGTGCAACCTGTCTCACAGCCCCACCCCTCAGCACTGTGCACTCCCTCAGAAACACCCCGGGGACGTAGAAGGGGGGCTCAGCTGTGGAGGATAGCCTGCCCATTCTGTGTCCATCTCAGTCCTGGCGGTCAAGTACTTAGCAACTCTGTTACTTAAGTGTGTAAATTCTAAGCATGATTGTGTTAAAGACACGGACAAAATCTCACCTAAATCCTTGGCATTGGGTTGATTAAAACACACCCCAGGGTCTAGGTATAATTTGGGGGCTCATTGCAGAGACCTTGTACAGAAGGTGCGGGAGTAGCTCATTGAAGGCCTACTATGTGCTGGCACTGTGATAGGCTGGGGTACAGTGGTGAACAAAGCAGGCGCTGCCCCTGCCTTCATGGGACCCACTGTCAGTGGGGAATCAGGCAGTAATCACACAAGTTAATAAAAAATGGAACTGTAGCAAGTTCTCTGTCACAGAACCTTCACAAGTAGAATATAGCACAGCAGATTGGACTGTGCTAAGGCCGGAAAGGCCTCCCGCCAGAGCTGATCATCCCTGAGTTAGAAACTGAAGAAAGAGCAGGTGTTGATTAGGAGAGAAGGGTTTTTTTTGAGCGTTTCAGCCAGAAAGAGCAGCACATGTAAAGGCCCACAGAGGGGGGCAGCACCAGACTACAGGTGTGACGCCTGGGGTCTGGCATTCATCCCGTCACTTGAACAAGTCTTACTTTATCCAGGTTCTCTTGGCATTGTCTCTCTCTAAATGGTCTCTGAAGTTATTACCAGTTCCATTGCTGTGATTCTGAATTGAGGCTTTCAGACTCAGTCATGAACGGAGAGGCGCTGAGTCTAAGATGCTGGTGCCCTCAAGCACTAGCGGCACCGTGCAGTATGTGTCATCAAGTGGGCATTCATTGCTGTCGCTGAGGAAACAATAATTGATATAGAAGGATGCATAGCCCGGCCGGCATGGCTCAGTGGTTGAGCATCGACCTATGAACCAGGAGGTTGTGGTTTGATTCCCAGCCAGGGCACATGCCCGGGTTGCAGGCTCAATACCCAGTGTGGGGCGTGCAGGAGCAGCTGATCAATCTGCCTCATCATGGATGTTTCTATCTCTCCCTCTCTGTTCCTCTGTGAAATCAATGAAAAAATCTATTTTTTAAAAAAGAAGGATGCATAGACATATTTTCTTAGACCACCTCAAACGTGGGCCCAGTAAAGACAGAACCCCAGAGATGATGGCCAAAGCTCCTGGTGGTGCTGAGCTCCAGGGGCCTGGTGGGGGCCCCTAGGCGTGCAGCGGAGGGAAGCTGGAGAGGAGGGCACAGACGCAGAGGGGGCTGTTTGCCTTCTGAGGCTGAGGCACGCATTTAGGAACAGCACATAGCAGTGTTGCCCTTCCCAGTCTTCGGAAATTCTCTCCTAGGCACCCTCTTTTCTTGCTTTCTTTAGGAGGACATGACATGCTGTACTAGTAAAAATATTTTGATTCTGGTTTTAAAATACATGAAGGACAAAGTGCTGGAATGGGACCCCATTCAGAGCAGCATGAAAAATATCACCTTCTTAGGAAAAAGCCCAACAGATGTGCATGAACTTTGTGGGAAAAGTTAGTAGACTTGACCAATAACGTGGAAGAAAACTAAGTGGGGAAGTGTGTACCATACTCATGGATGAGAGGGCTGTTTTGTTGGAGAGATGGTGTTTTCCTCAAGTTAACGATACATTCTATATAGTCATCATGTCAGTTCCTGCAGGGTTGTTGATGAATGGTAAGCTGATTTTAACACGCATGTCGAGGAGTAAAAGGAGCAGGGACAGCCGAGGCAGTGGGTTTAGTCCTGCTGTTGCTATAGCCCAGGGGTGGGGAATCTTTTTTCTGCCAAGGGCCATTTGGGTATTTATAACATCATTCACGGGCCATACAGAATTATCAACTTAAAGATTAGCCTGCTGTGTCTGGTCAAACATTTAATTAACTCACCCCTAATGCCTTGGCAGGGCCAGACCAAATGATTTCATGGGCCTTACATGGCCGGGCGTTCCCCACCCCTGCAGAGCCTGAGCTGTCTGTTTCATTCACCAGGAACGCCTTCACGGGCGAGGACGTGGAACTGGTGGTCAATTACACAGCAAAGAAGTCCTTCAGTCGGCGAGCCATCGAACTCACCCGTAAGTTGACTTCCGTTTCTCTTTTCCGGCAAAAGTTAAAATAGTTAAGAGCAAAGAAAGAACAACAGAATCCTTGACAGATTTCTCACAAAAGCCAAAGGCATCAAAGAATCGATACCGTCACCCTGCAAGATGTGTTCAGCAAGCGGCAAGTAGGTAGTCAGACATGACCTGTGCCTCCTTGCCTGCCAGCTTCCTGGAAACATGGGGTGAAGTAGATGGGGTGACAGCCTCCAGATGCCTTGAAAAGTGGCAGGAGATGTGGGGAGAGGTCAGGGATTTAAAGGAAACGGCAAAACAACTGACCATCTATCTCAGAGCTTGTCATTTCTGGCCCCCAACTCAGAACGATTTGCTGACACCCTTGGTATCAATTATGGTTTGGGCTTTGCTGGCTCAGAGTGGGCGTTCTTCTCGTTGACCAGTGGGAATAAACACATGGTTCTGCGTTCTCGAATAATTTCAGAAATTGTGTAGAAAGTGTTATAGGCGTCTCTCACTGACACCAGAGAGGTGTTACCAGACAAAACAGGACAGCCCTGGGAGCCAGTGAGAGAGGGCTGTCCTCACCTTGATCCTTGTCTTCTCATATAAATGAATTGGCATTGTGAACAGCCAATTTAGAAGAAGAAAAAAAGCGGGGGGTGGGGGTGGGGGGAAGAAAAGCCAATTTATTAAAGCAATGAAAGCATGCATCTTTATTGAATAAAGCAGAAACAAAGCAAGCAAACCTATACATCTGGCTTATGAAGCACAGACAGGCTCTTAGCTCATCTGAAGAGCAGGTTGGGTGGGGGTCTGAGGGGTTATATACCCTCCCTGTCGATAGGTCTCTGCTGACTATTTTGGTGCAGATTAATTCTCCAGGTCCCCTTTTTCACTTTGTTTACTTTGTTGTGGCCTTCCCAGAATTCATGAGAAGAATCTGGCAACTTTATCTTACCAAGCCTTGTGACTGCTGGCTCTCTGCTTAGGGAGTAAAACGTCCCTTTTTTCCTTTCTCCTTTCTCCCTCCCTTTCTGCATTCTCTCATTAGGGAGGTTTTTAACCATTTGCTCTGTGTCCTTGGCTGGGGTGGATGATGGCTTGTTAGTTACAAGCTGGCTGCTAATTGCCCCGCAGTTTGGCCTTGTTTTAACTTTGCTGTCTCAGTTTGCCTATTCTTCCTGCCCTGAATCCTGCAACAAAAGTATGTGCAAAGATTTCATATTTAAGCTTCTGGATGTTTGCTAAAACACCAGAATAACAAGCCAAATGTAAGAACGATGGTATACAGGTTGCTATGAAATAAAAATTCATGTGATATAGAATGTTACAATTTCCTTCCTTTTCTAATCTAGAAGTTTGACTTTTAGATGTTATTATATTTTTTAAGTGTTTTTATTGATTTTTGAGAGAGAAAGAGAGAGAGGGAGGGAGGGAGGGGGAGAGAGAGAGATGAGAGAAACTTCGATTGGCTGCCTCCTGCATGGGCTTGATCCTTGAGCTCACAACCCAGGCCTGTGCCCTGATGGGGAATTGAAATGTGACCTCCTGTTTCATGGGTCAACACTCAGCCAATGAGCCACACCAGCTGGGCAGCTGTTCTTACATTTTAAAAAATTCTTAATTTACATCAATTTTTTTTTTCTATATTGGAGGACCATTTGGGTAAAATTTTTTTACCAAGAGCTAAAATGTTCAGATTATCCACGTGGTTTTTCTTGTTGTTGTTTTGTTTTTAATATATTTTTATTGATTTCAGAGAGGAAGGAAATGGGAGAGATAGAAACATTAATGATGAGAATCATTGATCAGCCGCCTCCTGCACACCCCTTCACTGGGGATCGAGCCTGCTACCTGGGCATGTGCTCTGTCCGGGAGGGAATCGAACTGTGACCTCCTGGTTCATAGGTTCAACACTGAGCAACACCAGAAGGGCTGTTGTTATTTTCTTCCAAAGCCTTGCTCATTGCCTTTCAGGGGCACAAATGGAATCATTTGCCAAGTAGTGGTTGAATGGGTCTCCCTCCCCTGGTTAATGGCTCTTATTGGTAACACTTCCTGTCAGTGCTGCACCTTATTACAGAAGATCTTGTTCTCTAGGCCTCCACCAGGTGCTTAGCTGAGCACTGGCATGTCAGTGTGATGAGGCTCAGGTACCACAGCAGCTTGTGCTCTGTGTTTCAGCTTGTGCTCTTGGTTTCTGCGCCTCCTTCCCTGGCAGGGAGGAAGGGAAGTGCCCCATGCTCCTTTGTGACCTGTCCTTAGGGATGTAACAGTAAATACTCCACTAGGAAACACCTATTGACTTCTCTTCCTCGCCCCTAGTCAGGGCTGAACCTCCCCAGCCAGAAGCTGATTGCCAGTTGCTGATACTGCATGTGAGAAGGAGAAATGTGGTTGTGATTTTTAGAAATTTTCAGAATTAATCTTGCCTGAAGGGTTCATTTTATCCGCTGTAATCCTAGTAGAATTCAGTGTGATATTTTATTACTGGCATTTGGGGGAGAAGAGCCTTGGGGTATAACATGGAGAAAGCATTTAACTATTTGATGGGGCTTTATATATCATTTTAATTATATTCCAGTGAAGGGAAGCACACTGACCACTCATGTCCGCTGTCACTTCTTTCACAGTAAGCAGCTTGGGCGTCAGCGAGGAGCTGCAGCGTAAGCTGGAAGATGTTATGATTGACAGGAACCTTCTAATTCTTGGAAAAATTCTGGGTGAAGGTAAACAGTTTAATTCTTTTAAAATGTGGGATAAGAAAGTAAGCAGTTCACAGTAATTTTTAAAAATACAGATCTGTTACATAAAATACCATTTTGTGACTTTAAATGATAATACAAAAAGTTCTATTTTATCCTTTAAAATGAAAAAGTGAATAGTGATTTTTGAAACTAAGATTGGGCATAGGAATGGGGCTCTGTAGTGCCTAGCACACGCAGTAGGCCTTGAAAATATGAATTCCCTTCCTCCACTGAAAAGCATGTAATTCACTGGTTGGCTTCCTATATCATTTACATTTATCCCTCTAGTTCTCAAGTTTATAATTCCTGGCACCTTCCTGGTTAAATAGGGACAAGGGTGCACATACATATTTAATCTGTCATCCTGATATTCTGGTGTTAGGGTGAATGATGATGGTGTTCAGAGTTTCTACTTTATGAATTTCAAAAACACTTCCCATGCTGTCCCGTAATAAAGTGATGATCTGAGCGAAATCCAAGCCAGCCTCGGTGCTGACAATCGGGAGGTTAGTTTCTGGCTTCTGCCCTGGGTTTCGAGTGTGGCTGGCCTGGCAGCTCTCCCTGCTGCTGTGTAAGGGTCCTCGGGCCACGTGAGAACGTGCCTCTGGCCTGTGGTGTTTCTGTGGTCAGGAGAGATTCTGCACAAGGTCCGCACAGCTGTTGTTTTACTTCACAGGAGAGTTCGGGTCTGTCATGGAAGGAAGTCTTAGTCAACAGGATGGAACTTCCGAGAAAGTGGCCGTGAAGACCATGAAACGTGAGTTACCTGTCAAGAACTTAAGCCGTTCTAGGCTTAAGCATTAAGTACGTTCATATTATTGTGCAGCTGTTACCACCATCATCTCCTGAATTTTTTCGTTTGGCTCAGTGGATAGGTATTGGCCTGCGGACTGAAGGGTCCCGGGTTTGATTCCAGTCAAGGGCATGTACCTTGGTTGCGGTCACATCCCCAGTGTAGGTTGTGCAGGAGGCAGCTGATCAATGTTGCTCTCACATCGATGTTTCTAGCTCTCTGTCCCTCTCCCTTCCTCTCTGTAAAAAAAATCAATAAAATATATTTAAAAAAAAATAAATGTCTCTCTTAAGTTGCTTTAATTCCAGAAACTTGGTATGAAAGTGTGTCTAGTTCACAAGACAGGGCTGAGCAGCCAGACTCAAGCTCTGTGTTGGAGAGAGGCACGTGTCCCTTCTTTCTTTAAGGCCAAACTGATTGCAACAGTTTGGATTTGATATTAGTTTTTAAAACTAATATACTTTAATTATTAGAGCAGTTTTAGGGCTACAGAAAAACTGGGCAGCAAGTACAGAGTTCCCATGTGTCCTCGCCACACACAGCCCCCTATCATAAACATCTTGCATTAGTGTGGTGCAGTTTTTACAGTTGACGAATCCGTATGCATACGTTAATGACTGACGTCCATAGGCTACATTAGGGTTCACCCTGTGTTGTACATTCTGTGGGTTTGACAAGTGCATAATGTCATGTGCCCACTGTCACAGTGTCCTACAGATGTTTCACCCCAAAATCGCCTGTGTACCCCTTCTTTACCCCCGCCCAGCCCCTGATAACCACTCATGTGTTTATTATTGCCACAGTTTTGTCTTTTCCTGATTTTACTTGGAGAGAACAGAATTGCTGCTGCCCCTCCCCTCATGGAGCGTGTTAACTGTGCCTGAGATTTCCCATCTCTTCTTTCAGTGGACAACTTCTCCCAGCGAGAGATCGAGGAGTTCCTCAGCGAGGCTGCCTGCATGAAAGACTTCAGCCACCCCAACGTCATCCGGCTCCTAGGTACCTGTTGAAAGGCAGGCCTGGTGGCCAGAGGGACTCGGCGCATCCACTCTGCGCCAAAGGGAAACCTGGTATAACCCACGGTGATTTACAACCTGGGGTTTCTTCACCCACAAGGCTTCTCCTTACAGTTAACATTTTCGGAGGCTTATGGTAAAAGTGGGTAAAAATGGGACGTGATTTAATGTCAGAATTTGGCTTTTGGCACCATTAGCTAAAAAACAGCAAATGGGCAGATCGGGTTCCAGTGGTTGCTGTTTAAGCGACACTGTTCCGAGAGGGAGAGCAGCCTGGGAATAACAATGTTCTGACGACTTATTTTTGCCGCCCTGCCATCTAATAAATGCTAAAGTCTTTGGGGAGCTTTCAGAGTGTCTTTGACACTCAAAGGAGATGTGAAAACTAATCTTTGGATATAAGATGATGTCAAAGAAATGAGTGTTACTCATTGGCAGCTCTCGACTTCAGCAGACCGAGAACAATCGTGCTTTGTGATTGCACCACAATGTGCGAGAGCTCTGCAAGCCCGGTGTCAGGTGACAGCTCTCCTTCTAGAATTGCATGGTAAATGGGTTGCAGCTTTGCCCGTGTGTAACCGTTAAAATTTAGGGATGTGGATTCTACCTCAAAATACTTTCCGTAGTTTAAGCATTTGGCTTCAGCGCACGTCTTCATACGATGAAGTGTTTCACTGTCACATGAGACGAGTTTGCTTCTTGAATTCTGATGCAGTCCCTGCCCCTCACTTGGAATCAATTTAATGAAAACTCACCAGGTCTCTGTGAGGCTCTACTGGTGATAGACTGATTTTTCAGCGCTCTCCTGCAAAGACTGGCCCTAACCTGAAAGACAGGGAAAAAAAAGCAAAAGATGTGGACCCAGGTTGCGTTCAGTATTCTTGAACTCGGCGTGTGAGTTACGAGCGTTTGTTTTTTTAACTGTTCACTTGGGCGCACGTGGTTTCAATTTGGCCCAGGCTCCTGCCCTGCGTGCTTTTTCCGGTCACTGCTAACAGGGGCTCTTTGTAAGGAACTCTGCTCTTCATTTCAGGTGTGTGTATAGAAATGGGCTCTCAAGGCACCCCGAAGCCCATGGTGATTTTACCCTTCATGAAATACGGGGACCTACATACCTACTTACTCTATTCCCGACTGGAGACAGGATCAAAGGTAATGAATTCCCCCCTGTGTTGCCTTTGGACACTTGACAAGGCCTGGGCAAACTCAGCATCTGACCTTGAATATGAAGGAGGGAGCGCAAGGACTCGAGCCTTTGATTGGTGCTCCCTGTGCACCCTAGGGGTTGAAACGGGGTATCCGCCTTCAAGGCAGGTCTCCTCCTGGTCCTGTTATTCCTGTTTATGGGGGAGGAAGTCAGCTGAGAGCACACTCATGCCCCTCACACTGGAGCCGGGGGCCCCTTGTGATGTCAGAGTGGCCTCTTTCTTTTGAAGTTGCCTCTCTAGCTTGTTCACTCTGAAATCCCTGGGTGCGGGGACCTGTCTCGTTTTTCAGAGGAAAGGTGCGCTGAACTGTTTTTCAGAGACACTGAGGGTGAACTTAGTCCACCTGTCTTTCTTTCTTGTTTTGTTTTGTTAACCCTCACCCAAGGATATTTCTTTCTTTTTAATATATTTTATTGATTTTTTTTACAGAGAGGAAGGGAGAGGGATAGAGAGTTAGAAACATTGATGAGCCAGCACCGATTTGGTTCAGTGGATATATTTTTTTAAAAAAAGAAAGAAACATCGATGAGAAAGAAACATCCATCAGCTGCCTCCTGCACACCCCTTACTGGGGATGTGCCCAAAACCTAGGAACATGCCCTTGACCGGAATCAAACCTGGGACCCTTCAGTCCATAGGTTGACGCTCTATCCACTGAGCCAAACCGGTCAGGGCCCAAGGATATTTCTACCATTGATTTTTAGAGAGAGTAGAACAGACAGAAGGGGCAGAGGGATGGAGAGGAAGAGAGAAAGAGAAACACCTATAAGAGAAATACATTGATTGGTTGCCTCCTACACATGCCCCAACCAGGGCCGGGGATTGAACCCGCAATCCAGGTATGTGTCCTTGACCAGGAATTGAACCCATGACCCTTCCGTGTGGGGGCTGACTCTCTAACCACTGAGCCCCACCAGCCAGGGCCCATCTTTCTTTTTATCCTTGGAAATGGAAATCATGTTGGTTGCTGTAGCTTTATTGTAAGCCTTAAAAACGGGTACTGTGATTCCTCCAGATTTATTCTGCTGGGAGCCGGTCCATCCTTGCTGTTTCAAGGGACCTGGCATATATGGCATACTGTTCTTAATATGTTTGCTCACTTCTTGGCACTATGTGTTTTGACCAAGGTCACCTCTCCGAGAAAGGTTGTTTCCCCAGGTAGAGATTTTCCCCTGAAGTCAGGGAGGGGGTGAAACTCCTTAACTAAGTGCCAGGCGGGTAATGGCAAAAGATCCTGGACAGAACCTGGCTACAGAACTTGGTTGGAGAACCTAGACAGAACCTGGCTGAAGAACCCGGCTACAGAACCTGGCGACAGAACCTGGCTGGAGAACCTAAACCAAACCTGGCTGGAGAACCTAGCGAGAGAACATGGCTACAGAACCTGGCTGGAGAACCTGGAGAACCCAGCAAGAGAACATGGACACAGAACTTGGCTGGAGATTGTGGCTAGAGATCCTGGCAAGGCTGCTGATCAACTGAACACTTTCTCCGTGTCATTCCTTCTTTGCCGACTCCGTCCACACCTTTGGGGACCCCTGGACCTGCTGGGGTTGGACCCCGGCATTATTCTACTTTCCAGAATTGTTTTTAGCTTTTCTAGTTCTGTTGCCCTTCCATATAATTAGAGAATCAGCTTATGTATAACAAGAGAAACCAGTACACAGCATTTAACTGACTAATGAATAGTTTCTATTTGCAAAAATACAAGTGTATCTCCAGTGTTGAAAGGTAACTCCCATGTATACATTTGCAGCCATAGGTAATGCTGGAAGTCACAAAATGCATAGAGAAACCGGGACATCAGGCTTTTATTCAGGTCTTTGCTGTGTGTTCGGTCAGTTGGAATAAACACCTTCTGTTCTGCTAGTGTGGCAGGACTAGGGCTCGGTTACGTAGTGTGCTCCTCCAGCAGGGCCTCGGTGCCTCCTGTCCTCATCTCCCCTCCATAAATACAGGCTATCATTTTCTTTATTGAGATCTTTAGAGTCTTTCATTTTGTACTTGTCAGAGTGTAAGTTTTGTACTTCTTTTGTTAAAGTTATTCCTAAGTATTTTATTTTTATTCTTTTGCAGATAAAATTGTTTTGATTTCGTTTTCAAAAAGAGTGTTCATTTCTAGTGTATGGAACTACATTGATTTTTGTATATCGATGTAGAGTCCTGTAACTTTGTTGAACTCATTTATTAGTCCTACCACACAATTATCTTTTTTAAAATAATTTTTATTGATTTTTTTTTCTTTAGAGCGAGAGGGAGGGAGAGAGAGAAAGATCCATTAGTTGCTTTCAGCACACACCCTGACTGGGTATTGAATCCGAAACCTGGGCAAGTGCCCTGACTGAGAATAGAACCGGTACCCGCTCAGTGCACCGGACAATGCTCAACAAACTGAGCCACACCAGTCACGCCCACACAATTATCTTTTAAATAACTTTGGTCACAGTTTGCAAGAAGGAAATCATTGTTTGAGGAAAAAATAACACAGATGAATAGTACCTGATACTCGTCTCCATGAATGTTAGCAGACTTGATATTTCTTAATACCCAAATCCTTTGCTGGAAATTAGCATTCAGAAAATTAAAGCCCCAGCTATACAGAACACAGGCATAGGACTTCCCTCCCTGGTCTGTTTATGTTCTCTTTAATAAGTCCATTATGTAAAGGTAAAACATAATTAAAGCATTTTATTGTACATACAATGTGTGACCGCCGTGGGTCTTGACACAGAGATATAAAGCATTAAAAATTCAGGGCTTGATTCTCACCACGTTGGAAAACTTGTGCCATACGGAATGAGTCGTGACAAATGCAGTGTGCTGGGAAAGTGTGTTGTGGGTGGACCTGCTTGTGGTGGCCGGGAAGTCGTCAGCCCTTCACACGGTGTCTGCAGAGAGCGCTACTTCTGTCGTCATCCTCCTAATCAGCTTTAACCCGGATGGTCTCTTAACACAGCAGCGTGCATGCGTTCACACCGTGGAGAAAATGCTAGGCTGCTGACATTACAGGGGGTCCCAAGAAACAAAAATGAAAATTCCTGTGATAAGGGCCCAAGACCATCCTAATTTCTCTCTAAAAGAAAACTATCTTTTCAAAACATTTCAAAGGGATAGCAGATGTGGGTGCACAATTGGACAGCTACTTTAAAGTGAGCTTTTTGCCTCAAAACATTAGAAAACCCCACCCTCAAAAGCCAGCCCCACCTCTCCCCCCCCCCCCCCCCCGTGTGGTATGGGTGCTTGGTCCCACTGGCACTCAGGACACGGAAGATCCCACTGGATCCCATGACTTGGGAGACGAATGTTATTCACTGTCAATACTTTTAAACATGGGGAGAAGAAAATGTGATATTTGCCAAACAGTTTTAGAGTTTGTTTTTTTCATTCCTCTTTTAAAACCTTTTTTGTGCTATTAGTGATAAAGAAATGAAGTTTGTTTCCATGTCTCATGGCCACACATTTAAGAGAAAAAATGCTGTTTTCCCCCAGATGGAGATAATTTGCAGATTTCCTTGTAAAAAAAAATAATAATAATAATCTTGCTTCGTCCCCAGCACATTCCCCTGCAGACACTGGTGAAGTTCATGGTGGACATTGCCCAGGGGATGGAATATTTGAGCAACAGGAATTTCCTCCATCGAGACTTAGCTGCTCGAAACTGCATGTAAGGGTCTGGGTGCGTCCTGGGCAGTTGGACCTCATGGTGTTGGTGTTTGTGGTGGGGACACCGTGGGTGGCCTGTCGCTGTCACAGGAGGAGGAGAGAGAGTTCTGGAGATGGGATTCCTGCATCTCTGAGGCATGGCTGGGTTTGTGCCTGCGGGTTTTCAGTCCTTCCCAGACTTCCTCCTGTGACTCTGTTTTCATTTTCACACTCTCACGCCCTAGGAGGGCGAGGTAAGACCTTTGTGATCCCTGTTCATTGCCATCTGCTGGCTTTGGGCCCAGTTACATACAAGTCAGCTAATCATGCAGACACTAATGAAAACCATGAAGGTCTGTCCCTACGTTCTTGCGATGCTGCCTTGAGAGGACGCCTTGTTCCGTGGACACACCGACCAGAGCAGCAAGGACAGACTAGAACTTTGAGCCCCAGTTCTCCCACGTCTTCCTGCTGCAGCAGCGGAGCCATTTTCTGCGGGAGATCTTCAAGACAAGAACTGCGTCTTGACTTAAGTTCACTGTTGCAGGAAGAGGGAAGGTTCCTTAAATGTGTTGCTTTTATTTAGTTTTCTTGGCTGGAGAAGTGACAATGGTGCCTGCCCTCACTCCTCCTAGCCAGTGCACCCCTTCCCAGCTCCCTCCACTTCTGCCTCATTTTTGAAAGTCCAGAAGGGTCTTGATTTTGTCTTTTAATTTAAAGAATTTTCCTACCACAGAGGGAGACCTATGAAAATCGTTTTTCCCCATCAATGTTTCCTTAACGTTTTTCCTATTATGAAAGGTGACCCGCTGTCAGTTTGCTCGGAACTGAGGGCTTTCCCAGGACAAGGGATGTCCAGTTTTAAAAGTCGGTGTCGGGCGAACAGGGACGGGTCGTCATGCTACCTCCAGACCTCTCATTTCTTCTCGCCCTTCTCCTTCTTGTCTAGGATCTGTTTTAATGGGATGGGCTGTCAGTGTGATTGTATGACTTTAATTTTCTGAGTCACTCCTCCAGTACTATCTCACCATCTCTGCGGGGAGTCCTGGATCCCCCTCTTGCAGGCTATACTTGCCCACCTCCCCCAGGCTGCCAGGAGGCTCCCTTGGACCACAGAGCCAGGGCTGCATCCAGACGTCAGGCGTAAAGGCTGCTGGGATGCTCGTTGAGTGACCAGAGGCCCTGGGTTTGAGCTGGGCTCCTCCAAGCCTGTGCAGCTCCCCTGTTCCCTCCTGGTGTCTCCATCCTTGTGCACAGATGGCCTTGCCGGGTCCGATTCCCACACAGACAAGCAGGGTGCAGGGTGCTCTCTCTGCTGCTGCTCCCCCTCACTTGCCGGGCCGTTGTTCCCCAAGCAGGTGGGGGCTGTGTCTTTGGGCTACTTCCTATGCGTGTGACGCAGACCTGTGCTTCAAGGCTCTGCCTGTGATGGACCTAAGGACTCAAACTCCTCTCTGTAGGTTGCGAGATGACATGACTGTGTGTGTGGCGGACTTCGGCCTCTCTAAGAAGATTTACAGCGGTGATTACTACCGCCAAGGCCGCATCGCCAAGATGCCGGTGAAGTGGATCGCCATCGAGAGCCTTGCGGACCGAGTCTACACCAGTAAAAGTGACGTGGTAGGCACAGTTTTCCTGGGGACCTTGCGTTTCAGAGATGAACCGTGCTGAACAAAGTGACTTAGCTGCCAAACATTTCACTATGACGAACTGAGGGCCGGGAGTGTGCTCACATCTCTCTTATTTATTGCTAGGCACCCTGATTCAGATGGGACTGTAGATTCTGGTGAAGTCTCCTGACATTCAAAAGATCTGTCTTTGCACAGGCCCTTAATTTATTCCCGTTTTCCTCTGCTACACTATTGTGACATATTGCCCACAACTACGCTATTTCATATTCATATTAAATTCAGCAAGTTCATTCAGTGGCTCTATGGGACCAACACGATGTACAAAAGGTGCTGTGTGGTTACGCCCTCAACCAGAGACGAGGAGCGAAAACACTTGACAACATTGTGAACGAGCGTGGATTCGGCAGGAGGCTCTGGCTGCCCTTGTCAGATTTCCCGTAAGAGCGTTAGTAGCAAATGGGCACAGTGACGTACCAACCGCGTTACCGCCGTGTTGGGAGAGCAGCGTGTCCCAGTCATAATTGTCAGCTTTGTGCACGGTCATCGGGGCTTTAAGGAAATGACCTTTCCCAATGAAAAAGTCCATTCATACTCTCTGAAAAGGCTCAAATCTTACTTCTTGTTGATTTGTTCTCAGTGGGCATTTGGCGTGACCATGTGGGAAATTGCAACTCGGGGGATGACGCCCTACCCTGGAGTCCAGAACCATGAGATGTACGACTATCTCCTCCACGGCCACAGGCTGAAGCAGCCAGAGGACTGCCTGGACGAACTGTGAGTGAGCCGCTCGATGGGGCCAGGCACCCTGCGGGGGGGCGGCCAGTGGGTCTGCAAAGACCTAGGGACACAGCCATGGGGGTGTGGGGAGGAGGGTGTGCTTTTAGCCAGGCCACGTGTGCAGAGGTGGCATGTCCAGGCCCAAGCCTTTCCTGGTGTGAGAGGTGGTGTGTGTACACGTTCTGCAGGTCTGCAGGCACCCCTGGGAGATGCATTCTAGATAAATGGGTCAACTTTACAGCATATGAGGTACCTGGTCACCTGCCCTCTTGTGCTGCCATCTTCCTTCTCTTCCTGTACAGTATTTCAGACAGACAAATTGCAGTGATATCCTAATCAGGAAATTTAGAAACCAAAGCCCATGGCTCTGAGGTCAGGCCGATCATCAGAATTGCATGGGGATAGTCTAACAGCACGATTCCTCGGCCCTATGCCTGGACACTGAGGTTGTTGGAACCAAGTGGGCCAGAAGTGCATGTCTTAAAACACTGGGCAATCAGGTGCTCCGCCCGGCGCGAGAGCCCCAGCTCAGCATGCACAGCCCGTGCGGGACAGGCCCCTCCTCTCTAGGGTGGGTGGTATGGGGAGAGGCCGAGCCTCTGAGTCACTGAGGCCAGCTGCGGCCTCCACCTACCCATGGGGGAGGCCTTCACAGCCGACTTGACTTGTGTGCCTCATTCTCAGCCGCAGATAAAGTCCAGTCGCATATTCTTCAGAGCTATTGGGAGGGTTGAGGAAAGTGTGTGGAGCGCTCAGCCTGCGGGAGGCACAGAGCCAGTGTCACATCGTGGTGCCGATTCGTAACATGACATCATACACACCGACCTGCCCAGACACCTTGCTGACCTTCTTAAACTGACTTCTTGTGGCATTGCCTCTACCTCCCTAGTGTCGAGTCTCTTCCCCACATAACAGGAGTTACAGACATTGTCTCCATATTCAGTAAGATTTCAGAACCTTAGGCCTTCACGGGCTCAGGCTTGGAAGGGGTGGCTGGGTCTATGTCACACACCCACTGTGGCCTTGCTTCCTCACTTAGGGGAGGGCTAGGTTAGGGGGTATGCAGGCTCCCCTATCTCATCCAAGCCAAACAGAGAAAACTATTTTATTTTTTTTTTAACAGAAGAAAATTAAATTTTAATACATGTGCATGGAGAATTTACATAAGCAGGAAAATTCCCAGAAGGAAACTTTATTGATAAGAGCCGCAGGCTGTTTGGTCGTGGTGGCTGTTGTGGTTATAAATTACAATATTAAGAACAGAAACAAAAAATGTTAAGCCCTTTAAAAACATTGTGAAATTCTAATTAAATTAGATCTGGGGTTTCATGGTGGTTTTTGAAAGAGCCACGTGAATGAAATGTTTGCTTCTAAAAAGGAGGAACTGTTTTAGCCCAACAATGTTGAATGAGGAGTTTTGTGGCTCTTTCTCTCTTGGCTTCCGTCTTGCGCCACAAGCAGTTGGTCTTTGCAGTGATTACCCAGGGTCCCGGCAAGGTCCGAGCCGTGTCACACTGTGGTTTTCCAGTGCTTTACGTGGAGCCAGACGAGGAATGCTGACTCGCTTTTCTGAGCATTTTTGGTGAGAGTCGCAGAGTCAGCACGTGGCCAGGAGGTCAGGCGGGTCAGGCGGGTCAGGCGGCCCTGTGGTCCCCACCCCAGCTGGCTCTGCACCTGAGGCCTGACCCAGGCCTTCTTCTTGGGCCCCTGTCCCATCTGGATGCTGGTCAACAAAGAGGCCTCTGTTTCATATCAGGGACGTTTTCTTTTAAAAATGAGACACACTTCTGAGCTTCTCATCTCACTTGCTGCCTAACCTTAGCCGAGGTGAATTCATGCCTACGGTACTTGCCCCTCGGTCTTTTCAAAGTCAGTCCTAAGACATGTAATGGAGCGCACTGTATGTCCTGCCCTCTGTGGCTGCCTCTTCTCACGGTGTCACCCACTCATGGTGTCACCCACTCCGAGTGACCAGGCAGTAGGCCTGTTCCCCTGGCCCAAGAGGCCCCTCTGCATAATTTCCCCGTCGTCTCTGTAGGACATTTCCTCAGCTGAGCTATGGCCTCCTGGCTGTGGCCCTCGGGCACTCCCACCGCTGGCCGCTGTGGTTCCTGCACCAGCCCTCATCCCCCTCATCCTCCTCTGATACTCGGGAGCCACCTTGTTCTTTCTTTAGTCCACTGGGTCCCATCAGCTTTATCCCACTGATGTCCTTCAGAGGACACCCTAATACCATCAAACCAGAGAAGCGCCAGCTGGCGGGGCCTGGCATGAGGAAACGGTGGCACAGTGGCATCACGGTGTGAATAAGGAGCGCAGCTCACACCACCTTCCCCCTCTCAGAAACCCTCGTCTACTTACGGATCAGTCCCTCCACTTCCACCTGCAGCAGCTCAGGCCCAGGCAGGAGAGCAGCGGGGGCTTCCGGTCAGCCAGGTGTCAGCACTCAGACCCTGCCTCACACTGCAGGGCACATGTCATGTCTCTGAGCTGATGGGCAGCGCTCAGCCATCCTCAGAGCCAGGGAGAAGCAGGTGCCTGACAAATATGGAAAATTCAGAAATCTAAAATTTTTTAAATGTGTATGATTGCAACCTTTTAATTCCTTTGTGAAAAACTGCGGTAAATGCACAGAACATAACATTTACCATCTTAACTATTTTTAAGTGTGCCGTTCAGTCGTGTAAGTGCATCCGTGTTGTACAGCCGTCACCCCCTCATCTCCAGAACTCTTCATCTCACAAAACTGAAACTCTGTCCCCCGTGAAACAGTAATCCCCATCTGCCACTCCCCTAGCCCCCATGACCTGTGTGACTACATCTTTTATGAAATCTCAGTAGAAAAACAAAATGACCTTTTACAAAGGCAACTACCAAACTTGTTTTTTTCTTTTTTTCTTCTTCTTCTTCTTTTTAAAATCCTCACCTGAGGATATTTTCCCATTGCTTTTAGAGAAAGTGGAAGAGAGAGGGAAAGGCAGAAAGAAATATTGCTGTGAGAGAAACACATTGTTTGGTTGCCTCCTGCACATGCCCCGACCAGGGTCCAGGCTGGGGAGGAGCCTGCAACCAAGGTATGTGCCTTTGACCGGAATCGAACCCGGACCCTTTGTTCGGCAGGCTGACACTCTATCCATGAGCCAGACTGGTTAGGGCTCATTTTTTCTTTCCATCCCTGAGATTGGACTTGCTGACCTTGGTCTACCACTGCAGACTTGCCCTTTGTCGGAGGGGCCTAGGCAGTACCCACACTACCATATATTTGCTAGTCATATTTCTATTCTTACATATTGTGATTTTGCTACCATTTGAATATGAAGAACATAGAGTATATCAGCGATTTTCAACCTTTTGCATCTCACAGCACACATGGACTAATTATTAAAATTCTACAGCACACCAAAAAATGTATTATTTGCCAACCTGACAAAAAATATAGGTATCATTTTTATTCATTCACACTGGATGGCTATTGTTAGGTTGGCTGTTGTCAGTTTTTTATTTGACAGTCTAGGACAGCCGTGGGCAAACTACGGCCCGCGGGCTGGATTGCCCGTTTGAAATGAATAAAACTAAAAAAAAAAAAAAAAAAGACCGTACCCTTTTATGTAATGATGTTTACTTTGAATTTATATTAGTTCACACAAACACTCCATCCATGCTTTTGTTCCGGCCCTCCGGTCCAGTTTAAGAGCCCATTGTGGCCCTCGAGTCAAAAAGTTTGCCCACCCCTGCTCTAGGAGAAAAGAAGTCAGTGCCCCTGGCTAAATAGTCGGGTATGGCATGTTTTAAAAAATTCTTGTGGCACACCGGTTAAAATCGCTGGGTTATGCAAACGCTTTCTCCAAAGACGTGGAATAAATGAAGGAAAATAATGGGGCCTTCATGGCCTAATGAAAAGGGGAGTATCTGCTAAGGGCAGAATTCTTCAAAGCTCATCTCAGACTGCAAACAGGCAGGGCTCTGTGGAAAACACGAAGCCATGCAAATTGATTTATACCATAAGAACCTCAAAAATGGAAACAAAAGCTGTTTGCCAGGTCCCATGGCCATCTCGTGAAGGTAGAACAAGGAGAGTCAGAGAGCTGAGCTGATGTCCAGGTGGGAATCGGGCTCATCAGGGAAACGGGAGCTCAGGGTCCTGTGCTCACAGGCAAAGCGCCTGCAGACCCGCCCTCAGGCCTTGCTGATGGGCTGAAAGTAAACAAAGGCAGGTGTTGATTGGTACACATTATGTGGGTGAGATCTCAGTACGTGTGTGCTGGCAGAATTACCCAGAGTTCTACGCGATGGGATTACATGTGAATATGGGAATTGCATATTTATGTTCACAAGATAGCAGTAATCTGCCCAGCTGGTGTGGCTCAGTTGGATGAGTGTCGACCTATGAACCAGGAGGTCACTGTTAGATTCCCGGTCAGGGCACTTACCCAGGTTGTGGGCTCGAACCTGAGGATGGCAGCCAATCAGTGATTCTCTCATCATTGATATTTCTATTGCTCTCTCTCTCCCTTCATCTCTGAAATCAATAAAAATATATATATTTTAAAAGACAGCAGTAATCTACTACATGTGTCAGATGATTAGCATTGGGATCATTGCCTTATCCAGCAACATGAATGTCAATTTCTCAAGAAAGGAAAGAGTCCAAATGGTAGTATAACTCACTCTTCCTGATGCAGTCATCTCTGTTTTACTGTGCTCACATCAATGCCCCCCCCCCATTGTAATTCTTAATTACACAGAGAATGAGGGCACCACCCTGAAGAGAATCCTCCCTACAGGACACAGCAGAGGTCATGAGGAGCCCCAGTCATAGGACTTGTCCAGCCAGAGACCGGTCCCCTGCTGCCCACATAGCAAAGTAACAAGGACAGGGCTATTGATGAGAGTAGGTGCAGTAACACACACAAAACGCCCAGTACAGTGAGGCACACACTCCTTTACACACACCCCGCCACCCCACCCTCCCCCCCGAGTCCTTCTAACAGCTCTCCTGGTGACAAACCCAGCTTCATGTGCAGTACAGGAGTCGGCACACTTTTTCTGTAAAAGGCAAAATAGTATTTTTTATTTTGAGGCCATGTGGTCTCTGTTGAAACTACTTAACTCTGCCATTGCAGTAGAAGCAGCCACACATAAATAAAAGTAGCTGCGTTCCAATAAAACTTTATTTACTGTGGAGAGCGGCTACAGCGTTTGGACAGGATCAAGCCTCCCACTGACTTGTGGCAAAGCCTCATACGAGTCCCAGCTTGGAGGGCAAAGCCCTCCCAGCACAATTATAGCCGAAGGCTGTGGTTATAAGCTTGACCTATAGTCCCAGACGCTGCAGTCCTAGGTAGCTAAGGGATGTGGGCTGTGGGAAGTGCAACAAGGGCTGCCAAAACTAGGCTTGAGTGCAATAGGAACAAAGTAGATTGGAAACTCGAGAGAACATTGTAAACATCTTGACCACTCCCCTTGTTTTGCTTTGTGTGATCTGACTATAAAATAAAGATCCTGCTTGCAGCCAGGGTCACTGTTTCCTCATCCAGGCACAGATCCTACCTGGCCCCAACTGTATTCCCTTGTCTGTCTTCTTTAATCCTTCACCGCTCCTCTTAGGTTCACCCCAGGCCGTGCTGGACAGGGTTCAATTTACAAAACAGATGGTGGGCTGGACTTGGCCCACGGACCATACTATGTCCTATACTCCTGGAGACAGAGGAGCACTATCACATACCCATGGAAAATTTATAATAAAAGTTGGACAAATATGCCACAAGGAAAACCTCTGTAATTTCCAAAAAGTAAAATTAGTGTGGATTAAAATGTAATAAAATTGCCCTCACTGAGTAGCTCAGTTGGTTAGAACGTCAACCCGATACGCCAAGGTTGTGGGTTCGATCCCTGGTCAGGGCACATACAAGAATCAACCAATGAATGCCTAAATAAAGTGGAACCACAAATCAGTGTTTCTCCGTCTCCCTCCCTCCCTTCCTCCCTCTTCCCCTACTTCTCTCTCTCCCTTCCTCTGTAAAATTAATTTTTTAAATTTTTTAAAAACCCAAGACGAGGTGAAAACAAGGGGTGGACTGCACTGAGGGCCTGGTGCTGCGCCGGGAGTTAACTCGCCTTCTCTACTCGCAGGTATGAAATAATGCACTCCTGCTGGAGGGCTGAGCCCTTGGACCGACCCACCTTCTCCATGTTGAGGCTGCAGCTAGAAAAGTTCTTGGAAAGTTTGCCGGAAGCGCAGGACAAAGCCGAGGTCGTTTACATCAACACACCGTTTGCAGAGAGCTGCGAGGGCCTGGCAGAGGGCCCCCCACTCGCTCAGCTGGACATGGACATCGACCCCGACTCTATCATTGCTGCCTGCGCGAGCAGCGCTGCTGTCAGCGTGGTCACAGCCCAAGTCCATGAGAACGGACCTCTCGAGGGAAGGTACATTCTAAACGGGGGCAGTGAGAACTGGGAAGACGTGGCTCCCGCCGCCGCCGCAGCAGGGACAGCGGGAAAGAACGGTGTTTTACGGGAGGACAGGCCTGTGAGGAGCGGGGTCTCCTGGTCCCAGTCCAGCACGCTGCCCTTGGGGAGCCTGCCGCCAGATGAACTTTTGTTCGCAGATGACTCCTCGGAAGACTCGGCAGTCCTTGTGTGAGGAGAGCCGAGACGTTCCCAAACCAGGGAGGTAGACAGACCCCTCTGCCTTAGAGACCCAGGTACGCCCCAAGTTTCCGGTATCCGTCTTCCTGCCACCGCCCGCAAGCACCAGAGAATGTTGTTCAGTCCGTCATTAAAAATGCATTAATATATATTTATTTAAATAGAAAAATATATGTGTATATGGTGGAAAGAGACCTAGATTTTATATTTTAATAAAAGATGACTTATTTTCTGTCACTTACCTTGCAGATTTTAAAATTTTAGGCTTTAACAGCCTCATCTCTACAGCTGCTCCTTGATGTTAACATTTGCACAGTTGTTTTCATTTTCCCTGTTAAATGTAAAAATATTCATAAAATGAAATTGCTTGACTTTGCTTCTGGTCTTATGAAGAATCCAATCCTCCCCCGAATCACCTGTTTGATAAGAATGACCTTTTGATATGTAAAGTTTTATAACTGATTCTTTGATATAACTTCCTAATAAAATATGAATGAGGAAGGATGTGTGGTACTTACTTGAGACTTGGAAAAAGACCAGGGTTGCCGGCAGCTTCGTGGCTTTGCGGAGGAATTCCCTTAGTGCCTGAGGCCATTCTTGGATGTTTCCTAAACATAAGAAAAATCATCCCGGGGAGACCGAAGTTGAAGGGTGGAAAATTATTTAAAGGGTTGAAAAACACACTGTGCGGGCAGAGAGTTTCAGTGGGTTGTAGAGGAGTGTGGGACAGGTGGAGGGCTTTCCTGCATGGGAGGCAGGCAGCCGGGAGCAGGCCTAGCACTCGGCAGCCCTGGTTTGCATCCTGGCTACTCTGTGTCACAAGAGTCATTGTTTCTTGAGCACTTTCCGTGAACTGACCTGTTGAATCCATGCTTCATGACTTGGGTGCCAGTGCCAGCATGTGTGGGCCATGAACTGAGGCTGCAAAGGCTGAGTGGCCTGTGGTGGCCCACATCCAGAGGGGAGAAGCAAGAATTCTGAACCAAGCAATCTGCTTCTGGCAGGTTCTAAGCACATGATTTGGGGGTCTGCTCCAGAGCCCCCTTGACCTTTGAACTTTACTAAACACATAGATGGCACTTGCTGTGTGCCAGGCATGGCTCTCACTTAGTCCTCTTAACAACCCTACCAGATAGGTACTATTATCTCCACTTCACAGATGGGCAGACTGAGGCAGGAAGGCTACCTTACCCTCCCAGTAAGAGCAGCAGCCAGATGTGGTCCGTCAATCTCTCAGCCCTCGGGGCAGCCCCGCTGGGCCGGGACTACTGTCATCCTCAGGCCCATTCACCACTGGTGAGTAGCCTCAGCCAGGTCACCAGCCTGAGAGGTCAGATTCTGTACCAGGCCGAGGGATGTGGCCCTCAGTCTGGCTGCCAGCCCTGGTGCCCCGGTCTCCGGGGTGAGTAGCTCCCCCGTTACTGTGAAATGCCCCATACTAGGAAGTTCTGAGGGCAGGAAAAGAATTTGCATTGTTAAGAGAATTACCAGTATCAGGTTTTGTCAGCAAAAAAAAATAATAATTTCTACTGTTGGGATTTTGTGAATGGTGGTTTTAAAAATTAATAAAGCCCAGCTGGTGTGGCTCAGTGGTTGAGTGTTGACCCATGCACCAAGAGGTCACAGGTTCAATTCCCTGTCCATTGGGGCATATGCCTGGGTTGCAGGCTCCCTTCCTAGCAGGGGACCTGCAGGAGGTAGCCAATTAATGTTGATGTTTCTCGTCGATGTTTCTATCTCCCCCTCTCCCTAAAATGAATTTTTAAAAATCAATACAAATGTTTACATCTCCTTGCACAAAGCTTCTTGTTAACAGTGACTATCAAGAATGTGAATAACTCATCATTGAAGTCTTTATCAGGAGCTGACTGGTTAGTTCAAGAAAAAAAAATGTAAAAAAGTGTTCACATCTGTGAGCAAATTGAAAAATTTATTTGGAAATTTCATATAAATTTCATATTAACTGTTTAAACTGTTAAAATACAGCAGATCCTTCATAATGTCATCTCATTATAACATTAATGAGAAGAAGTTGTTTTGGGGCCAGGGCCATTCTCTGTTGGCGTTGGCACGGTCTCCAAGTGTCTGCGTGGGTTTTCTCCAAGGGCCCGGTTTCCTCTCACGTCCCAGAGATGTGCACGTGAGGTGAACTGGCACGTCTACACTGTCCCCGTGTGAGTGAGTGAGGGTGTGAGTGAGTGAGGGTGTGAGTGTGTGAGTGAGTGAGTGAGGGTGTGAGTGAGTGAGGGTGTCAGTGAGTGAGTGAGGATGTGAGTGAGGGTGTGAGTGAGTGTGTGAGTGAGTGAGGGTGTGAGTGAGTGAGGATGTGAGTGAGTGAGTGAGTGAGGGTGTGAGTGGCCAGCGATGGGAGAAAGTTCTGCCCAGGATGGGTCCCACCTGGCACCCTGAGATGCTGGAGAGGCTCCAGCCACCGCCATCCTGAACTGGAATCGGTGGGTTGGGAAATCATCATCTTGTTTTTACTCTCTTAAATGTGTGTAGAGCTCCCATTTATTTTAATGTTTAATATTAGGAGCGTTTTGGATCTTTGTTTAGAAGTCTGGTGATGTTTTTGTAACCAGAAATAAGACATAGGAACTTAACGCTTGTTTATATTAATTAGCCTGTAGTAAAGATGGTTTCATTGTACATCATTTCACGTAAAGCCGCAGTTTCTAAAAACCTATAGAACAGTGGTTCTTAACCTTCCTAATGCCACAACCCTTTAATACAGTTCCTCATGTTGTGGTGACCCCCAACCATAAAATTATTTTTGTTGCTTCTTCATAACTGTAATTTTGCTACTATTATGAATCGTAATGTAAATATCTGATATGCAGGATATATTTTCATTGTTACAAATTGAACATAATTAAAGCATAGTGATTAATCACAAAAACAATATGTAATTATATATGTGCTTTCCGATGGTCTTAGGCGACCCCTGTGAAAGGGTCGTTCGACCCCCAAAGGGGTCGCGACCCACAGGTTGAGAACCGCTGCTATAGAGGCTGTTAAGTGAGGAGTTACTGTACTCTTTTATAGTTCTACTTTTAATTATCTAATGTAAACAAGAATGTAATGAATAGGTCATCAGATTCCCATAGCGCCCCATCCTGTGCCATTTGCTCAGTTTGTGCTGCGTGCCTGAGGAGGTCTGGGACCCTGGACCGAGTCTGCCATGGGAGAGGAGAGGAGTGAGCCAGCGTGGCTTCTGGCTTTTCTTGAGATATCAGCACACAGAGAAGTGCCCTTCATCCAGCCCCCGCGATGGGCCAGGGCCTGGGTGACATAGGTGTGAAGAGCAGCACCTTCACAACCCACTTGCTTTTCCCAAGAGGAAAATGGGCTGGGCCACCATCGCGAAGACATCTGAAATCTCCTCGCTGAGAACTTTGCAACCCGCGTCACATTTGACCGTCCAAAAGTTTTGAAAGAACGAACTTTCAGAGGCTCCAATCTTGGCAAACTGGTAGTGTCTTCTGAGCATGAACTAAAAATCGCCTTTCCAGTTCTCTTTTGTGTCAACTCTACTTTTGTAGGGGGTCTTATGGGCTAACCATGGGGGAGCAGAAGCAAGGAGAAACAAGTCATTGTCTTCATCTGGGCTGGGACAGGGCCAGTGACGAAGGCCAGAAAAATACAGAAACACTCCTGACCTGCAGATGGAGACTAGCTCTGCCTTGGGAGGGTTCTTTTCTTTCTTTTCCTTTCCTTTCCTTCCTTCCTTCCTTCCTTTCTCTCCTGTGCTCCCTTCCCTTCCTCTTTCCTCCCCCCTTCACCCTTTTCCTGACTTTTCTTACTGAATAGGAAGAAGGGAGGATCAGGGTCCCAGGAGCAGGGACACAACCAGCAGCAGAGGCTGCTGGGAACTGGTCCTTGCGATCTTGGGCAGGTTGCTGGACGCTCCTGGAGCCCGAGTTTCCATCAGTGCTCGGTGAGCACCTTCTCCCGCACCCCTGGGCGGCTGTGTAGGACGGGCAGGCAAGATTTCAGAGAGAATGTTAGGCTTGCTAGAGGCTTTCCCCAATTTGTGGCTTCTGCCAAGTTCATTCCTTATGGTGTAAAAACTCACCATGTCATATCGGAAATATTTTCCCTGATATGTTACCAACTCACTCCAAAATAATACACACTAACTGGAAAAGAAAAGAATCCCACCGTTGTCAGTGATGCGTGCAGCCAGGCAGTTGGCAGAGGGAAGGAGACTGGTTCCCCTCGCTCACCTCAGATGGCTGTTGGGCTCAGAGTTGGCAGCTACAGACACATCCACACCCAAAGATGGCCCTCCTATCCGTCCTGTGAGCCACAGGCCCCTCCCTCCCAGATGTGGGTGATGGAAGCAGTGCTGGCTTTATCAACAGGTTCGGGAACCTTCGGGGAGTCAGTGCCCTCTGAGGAGGGGTACACTCTCCCTCTGGCCCCTCCAAGCAGAGGTTCCCCGTGCAGGCAGCAGGCCAAAGCCCGTCTCTTATCTTACAGATCAGATTGATTCTGGCCAGACTAGTCCTGACTCAAACCAAGACCTTTGTAACTTCTGGTCATCAGCAAAACAAGCTGCAACCTCTGCTGAGTCAATGGGAAAACCGCCCCCACAGAATAAATCCGCTACGAAGGCAACTTAACTTCTCTAAAGATGTTTCGTTAACCTTGGTTGACAAATGGAAAATGGGAAGTTGTGTTTTCTTTAACAAGCATTTCAGTAATGCACGATGTTTCTGCGCGTGGATTTTATTTTCTCTCTTTTAAAGCTCAAAGAACAGAAGTAAAACGGCCCTCTGTTTAACTTTAAAGAGCATGTCTAAATGACAACTTATTTGTATTTAAAGTAATGATTACTGAAACTCACCCAAAGACCACTACGTTAGGATACTTTTGTGTATAATTTTTTATTGAAATGGATTGTACATAGAGATATTTGAAAGAGAAATTTCAGTTATATACAGTAACTCTTACTACCTCTGAAGGACGCGATAATTTTAAGCTGATTCGCGGGCTCATTGAGACTGCATAATTATAAATTCTAACCAGAACGGCAGTCACATGAGGACACACAATCAACTCATCCACTCACTGACATTCACGGAGAAGTCTGTTCCGGACGCTGGGATTTGCCAAGAACAGTTCCCTGGGCCTTGCTGTTGTTAGTCACAGCCCTCGCAGGGCACAGACGGCTTCCAGGGCATACTGTCTTTTAAAGAATAGCCCCAGAATGGCCTGGCTGCACATTCTGTTGAAGTTCATTAGCACCACAGTGAAGCAGATCAGCTGAGCCTGGGGTGCTATTGGGACGCTAACGGACCTCAGAACTGGAGACTGGGTGCTCTCCCTGGAAGCAGACTCTGCAGCCCCGCCCCATAGGATGTAAAATTAGAGAGAAAAAGAGAAAGGTGCCCAGGTTGGAAAAGCAGTAAACTATCTTTATTCACAGATAAGATGGTTCTGTATGTAGAAAAATCTCAAGGAATCCATGCACAGAGAACGGAGGTAATTGATGATCTTAG